TACATATAATAATAATTGAATGAACACATTTTAAAAAATATTTTCGATTTATTTTCATTTCTTTCAACTATTTTAGATGTGCCATAGGCAAGCCAGATGTTTTCGCAAAGGTCGCCTTCCTGTTCAATTGGATTAAGAACAATACTGTATCAAACTGAAATCCCTTGAGTTAATTGTGATTTTCCTTGAAGTCATTGAAATGAACTAAAATAACACATTTGATTTAAATAAAGACTTTTTCATTCTGAATTAAATGAAAATTGTTCAATCTGTTGCCAATTTGATTCCAAAACTTGTTTCTCTCTACAGTACTGCCAATGACAGTCTACCATTATTGATGATGTGTTCCAATAAAAACTTTTGTAATCACGGAAATAAAAACTTATTGCCGAAACGTGTGAATAATTAATTATATTCAAATGCTGATAATAAGTTGGGTTGTTTCTATCTCATTGTATCACCGAACAAAAATGAAAAGACCCATAAACTAACGCGACTGGCGCAGAACTACCTGCGCTTATAAACAATCGCATTGCGATTATTTTGACGGTACCCAATACTTTGAAAAAGCAAAGAAATTTCTTTCGCTTTTCCACTCATTCGTACACATACACATACAAACCGATTACACACCTCTATCTTTGGTCAGTTTAATTACATTGTCGATGAAATCAACTACATCAGCGCAGTTGTTCTACTATTGTTCACAGCAATCAAAGAGATAGATTCAATATCTAAACAGTCATGCAATTGATTTTTTTATCAAACGAAGGCGATTTCTCACGCATTTTAATGCACTAGTCGGAACACAGTAGTTAATTCTTATAAGTTGGTGCGATTCAGTCTTAGGGTTAAACACGAGATTCTAGTATGCACTAGTGCTTTCTAGTATTTCTAATGAAGAAAGGACGCAACTCATCACTGAAAGTTGTAGACTCTACATATTAAAATCGTTCGATCAGTCTACTCATTTGCGGTGTTCTTTGACAGTTCGCCATATACCGTGTGTTAACTGAATACTTCTAATGTTTCGAGTTTTTCTGGCACCAAAATCGTGTTTACTCCCCAAAACTCAGTACGAATTGTCAAAGAAATTATGCGAATATTATGGACTCTCGGCAACTGATAAGATTCGGAACAAAGTTCAATATCCCAAATACATCGGCCACACACTTCATATGTTGTGTGACATACTTTACTTAAATCACTTTATTATTTATGATTTCATTGAGTAGCCATTGTTTTCTCAATAGCGCACGCGAGCGATAAATGCCAAACAACGTGCAAAGCATGTGGCGGATGTACTTAGGATGTAATCAATACTCGTGTTCAAACCTGGATTTTCCCTAGATTTGTTATTATCCTTATCATTTTTAGTTTTACTTATTTATAACTAAATAAAAATTTATGAATTAACGATAATCCCCGCCAATTTTTATCTCTATTTGTAAGTAAATATTTTGAATCATTTTTCGAAGAATTGACCTAATTTTTTTTTGGATATTACACAGAGAAAAAAGTGGCTAGATTTACCTCTTAGAATGTTGCAAAATATCGAATTACAACGAATATTTTGTTTTTCGCAACGAATTTTTTTACCGTTACATGAAACGTACATTCAATGTATTAACTTCGTTTATTTATTTTTTTCTCCATCGGGGTCCAAAACTTTGGATTTTTTAATTCCAAAACTGATTCTGTTTTTAGGTTTAATTATTATTATCTGTGACTAACTACAAATTTAGATTAAAACGTTATTACCAATTCTTGTTTCATATTCATTTATTGTATACCGATTTCCTACTCGTACAGTAGACTCTCAGTATTAAAAAAAAAATTGGGAGTCTACTGTACGAGTAGGAAATCGGTATACAATACTGAGGTCAATATGAAAAAAAATTTGTTGCGAAAAACAAAAGATTCGTTGCAATTTGATATTTCGCCACATTTTGAGAGGTAAATCTAACCACTTTTTTCTCTGTGTACATCAGAAAATTATGGTGCGTAAACAATACTTGGATTGCAAAGTAGTGAATTTTGATTATTACGGCGCATTTAGTTAAGTGGCACTGATAAAGTGATATAATTTTTTCTTTCACGAGCCGTTTACTGACCGGAAAAGACTCTTCGAATGACCCATATAAATACAGCATAGTTTCATGGTAGAACCATCAGTCTCTTAGTTGTTCATAAACTAACAAGTGAATTAAAAGCTACAATTGCGAAAATGAAGTCAACATTAGTTGTGCTGTGTTGCATTTTGCAGACCATAGTCGGAAACCACATTAGCTCCGAACAAATTTGTGAGTAAAATGTGACAGTTGCTGGCTAAAGAAGTTTTCAATTTAGAAATCAATATCGTCTTTTTTTTCATTACTCCAGTGTTCCCACCGCAACCGTCATCAGACAGAATTGTTGGAGGTGTCAATGCTGAAGATGGTGTAGCCCCGTTCCAATGCTCGTTGCAAGTGAGAAAAAGACACATCTGTGGATGTGCCATCATTTCGGAAGAATGGATCGTCACCGCCGCCCATTGTGTTTCTGGGTATGAAGAATGAATTTGTATAGTTTTTTCTTCTTCTTTTCATTACTCACTTGTATCCATGTTACTCACAGGAGAACAGCAGAAAATCTGGAAGTCTACGTTGGATCAAATGACCTAAAGACAGGTGGAACTTCCTACAAAGCTGCGGAAATCAAATCTCACAAGCAATACAACAATCCTACTTATGCTTATGATATTGCCGTGATTCGTGTGAAAGGAGCAATTGAATTGAACGATAAAGTCCAAACAATCGAATACTCATCCGAAGAAGTACCCGATGGTGCCGTTCTTCAACTAACTGGTTGGGGTGCATTGCGTGTAGGTTTGATAAATGTTACTTTTTTCATTGAATAATTTCAAACATGGAATGTTTTTAGGTCGGCGGTGGAACGCCACAACACTTACAAATCATTAATTTGAATACGGTTCAAACTGAAAGATGCAGAGAAATCCATGGTTCGAGTGCACCCGTTCATGACTCCCATATCTGTACATTGAACAAAGTTGGTGAAGGTGCTTGCAATGTAAGTTGTATTTAATGCGAATTGAGTTCGAATGAGATATTAATCCATTTATTATTTCAGGGTGACTCGGGTGGTCCACTTGTTTACAACAATAAATTGGTTGGAATCGTCAACTGGGGAGTTCCGTAAGTAGAATCCAATCAAACATACATAAACAGATGAATGAACACATTTATTTGATTCATATTTTTTTTCAACTATTTTAGATGTGCCAGAGGCAAGCCAGATGCCTTTGCAAAGGTATCCTACCTATTTGATTGGATTAAGGATAATACTGCATCAAACTGAAATACATTGAATCAATACTGACTTTCATTGAAGTCATTGAAATGAACTAAAGCAACACATTTAATGTAAATAATAATGATTCTATTATTCTGAATTAAATCAAAATCGTTCAATCAATTGCCTATATTCGGTTTCAGAACTTGTTTGTCTTTATAGTGCCCATTTTTTGTCTAAATCAAATAAAGCCGATAGAAGACGCCATTTGAACTCAACAAGCTAGCTTTATTTATTGTTAACATGCCTTCTACTTTATTCGGATCTATTTGAAATGCGATACGATCACACACACCTCTTTGTTTGGTCAGTGTAATCACATTTTCGATCAAATCAACTAAATCAGCACAGTTATCCACTGGAATTTTTCGTGATTTTCATTATTCTTATCATTTTCAGAGGTTTAGTCATAGATTAACGATAATCCAAGATCCAAACCAATTCTTATCTCTTTTTTGAACTAATTCTTTCGATTTATTTTCAAGAGTTCTTTGGCGAATTGGCCTAAATTTTATGGATGAAATGGAAAACGATGGTGGACATATCGTACCCATAGCATCATTCAGTAGCTGTCAAACAAACAGTGCAATGCGTTCTGATGGCTATACTCAATGTTTGACAATGCAAGCGCGAGGTAAATGCGTCTACGACTTTGCTCTTTGCACTACTAGCGTGCGTCTACACTCATGCTCAATGCTTAGACGCACTTTAGTTTGCAAATAAGGTTATTGTTAGTGTTGTGCTATCCCTGTGTACAATGCTTGGATTGTAAAGTAGTAATTTTTATTTATTACAGCGCAAATAGCTGAGTGGCACTGATAACGACATCGCATGTTCTTCCACGAGCCATTTGAAGTTTATGACCAGAAAAGACTCTTCAAATGGCCCGTATATATACAGCATGGTATAACAATCAGTCTCTTGGTTGTTCATAAACTTACAAGTGAATTAAAAGCTAAAGTTGCGAAAATGAAGTTGGCATTTGTTGTGCTGTGTTGCGTTTTGCAGGCCATAGTCGGGAAACGCATTAGCTCCAAAGAAATTCGTAAGTAAAATATGAAAGATGCTGGCTAAAGAAGTGTTCATTTTGGAAATCAATATCGTCATCGTTTAATTGCTTTAGTGTTCCCGCCCCAACCGTCATCAACCAGAATTGTTGGAGGCGTTGATGCTCAGGATGGAGCAGCCCCATTCCAATGCTCGTTGCAAAATCGCAGAACACACATCTGTGGATGTGCTATTATTTCGAACAAATGGGTTGTCACCGCCGCACATTGTGTTTATCGGTATAACGAATGAATTTGCATAATCTTTCGTTCCTTTCATTACTCAACCTTGTATCTATGTTTACACAGTCAAATAGACAAAAGGCTGAATATCTACGTTGGATCGAATGACCTAAAGACAGGTGGAACTTCCTACAATGTTGACAAAAAAATAATTCATGAGCAATACAACAATCCTGCTTATGCCTATGATATTGCTGTGGTTCGTGTGCAAGGATCAATCGAATTGAATGATAAAGTCAAAACAATCGAATACTCATCCGAAGAAGTACCCGATGGTGCCGTTCTTCAACTAACTGGTTGGGGTGCATTGCGTGTAGGTTTGATAAATGTTACTTTTTTCATTGAATATTTTCAAACCGATGATAATCTTAATAGGCCGGCGGAGTAACGCCACAACACTTGCAAATCATTAAATTGAATGCGGTCCAAACTGAAAAATGTAGAGAAATCTATGGTTCGAGTGGACCCGCACCCGTCCATGACTCCAACATCTGTACATTGAACAAAGCTGGTGAAGGCGCTTGTGAAGTAATTTGAATTTAATGTGAATGGGAATCGAGTGAGATATTAATCCATTTTTCATTTCAGGGTGACTCGGGTGGTCCACTTGTTTACAACAACAAATTGGTTGGAATCGTCAACTGGGGAACTCCGTAAGTAGAACCCAATCAAACATACAAGTTTAGATGAATGAACACATTCTTTAAAATACTTTTGATTTCTTTTCATTTCTTTCAACTATTTTAGATGTGCCAGAGGCATGCCAGATGTCTTCGCAAAGGTAGCCTTCCTGTTCGATTGGATTAAGAACAATACTGTATCAAACTGAAATCCTGACTTTCCTTGAAATCATTGAAATGAATTAAAGTAACGCATATGATGTAAATAAAGATTTTCTCGATCTTTATTTAATTAAAATCGTTCAATCTATATCGGTTACATTAGCACAGTTGTTTTATTTCGAAAGGGATAGATAGAAAAAAAAATTGAAAATCTAAAGTCATTCGAATGATTTTTTATCTTATCGATAAGATCATTGAATTCGAAACAAAGTTCCAAATCCCAAGCACATCGGCCACACGCTTCACACGTTGTAAAGACATGCTCAGTCACACCACATGCTCGTCGTTTTGTCCAATCTGAGAGTACTAAGTTTCCGTGAGTGATACGCAAGATGGCAGCACCTTAAATGATGTTTTTATACACAAAGTAGATACATGAGTGTAAATTAGGTTAGCGGCGTATCAAAATCAAGGTTTAAAAAAAATACAGAGCGTGTGGTGTGACTGGACATGCTTTGCTTGGCTTAAGCCAAGATAACAATTGTTATCAGTATAGTGAGTTTAATCGAGTTTGTTGTTGTTTTCTCAATACCGATACAAGCTATGCATGTGACACGACGTGTGAAGCACCTGGCCGATGTGCTAGAGTACTGTTCAATATAAAAAAAATAGCCACAAGTCAACCGTAGAAATGTAGAAGTTATACAATCATTATTAAATAATTATTCAAACACACGACAAAAAGATCAATGGAAATCGGCTCACATTTTCCATATCTGGGCTTGAAATCTCCTATAAAAAGTAGTAGTATTGACCCCAAGAATGTTGTCCACCAATATGTTAAACCATTTCAATACTCACTCACACACAACGTAATGTGTGCGGAAAAGTAAAGAATGATCAAACTATGTGACTACCGGAGCGTTACCTCAAAACTGGCAATTGCTTGAAATGGGATAAAATGTCGCAATGTGATTTGGTTTTTCTTCTATTTGTGTTTGACCACAGAAAAACCTTTTTAAGAGCATTATGTGTCTAAGATTTGTGGAAAACTCAAGTCACTGCCATCAATGTCAACCGTTACTCGGTTCTGTTGAGCAGGTACAAGCATATTCATTGACCAATTTTCATGTCGCATCAACATGAGAGACGTCTGAATGAAAATGTCACCAGGATAAAAAGCGTCCAGAAAAAAGTGAGCGAGCGAGAGAAAATAAATGTTGTTCGAATGGTCTGTGTGCTGGGGAGTGGACATTTAATGTTGGTTTCGACCATTTTTGTGCAAGTTCATTTTAGCTGGAGCCATTATTAGTACCGTTTCTTTGTGAGAACGTATACGAGTCTCGCTCGTTTTTTTCCCGCTCTCACTCTCTGTCGATGGATGCATGAATGTTTTGCTCGAAGCATTTTTGAGCTGTGTGCACTGTGAAAAATAGTGACTGCAAGAAGAAAAAAAACGTGTGGTTTCCATTCATTCATTCATTTCGGTGTTATGGATGGTCGTTATCGTTGCCATATTCCATACACAATACCCAATTCTGTTTTTTTTCTACTCTCTCTTTCAATTACGCTTCGTTTGCGAGCTAAAATATTTTCGGTGTCTGCGTATAGCCGGCGAATGAATGCCGGGTAGTTGCAACCAGTTATCGTTAGAATACGTCGCTCGTCTCGCATATTCGCACAATTATAATTATAATATTGTAACGCTTCGCTAAACTAAAATACCTGCAGGACAACAATCATTTCCCGGCCATACATTGTGAACGCGCCGCGCGCTCTTTTTCATTGACAAGAAAAAAAAAACCGGGGAGGAATAAAACAGATATTGAGCTAAAGCTTCATAATGCTGATCTATTTTGCATGTTACGCGTGCATTTGGCGACTGTTGTACATATTACGATTTTTTTTTCTGTTTGTTTCTTCTCTTATTTGAAAGCATCCTTTTCCCATTAGATCAGTTTTTGCCGACGATATTTATGATTCGGATGGATATGAATATTTGCCGAAGAGAAGAACGATGTACGACGTATATTGTACGTGTTTTATAAGCATACCGATTTACACATACCCATTTGATGGAGGAAAACAAACGGAGAAAAAACATCGATGTAGAAAAAAAATCGCTCCATCGAACTGGTAGCAGTGGCTTTCAAATTCATATTGGTTTTCATTTTCTCATCATCGAGACATAAATAGAAATTCTCTTTGGTCTGCGGCCATTTTTCGGTATTGCGTTCTTTACAATTTTGAAGCACATACGACAAACACGACACAGACACACTCGCCCGGCTCATTCCCATCAATCGACAGCGACAAACTATTATGATGAAGAGAGAATAAAAAATGACTGTGTGTATTTGTACAACAGAATAAAATCAATGGAGCGTGACATAAACCACACAGTTGCGTACATACGAAATACCACTTTAGCTGTTTATCAACAAACAGTGGAGTGAAAAAATCGAGAGAAAGAGAGCGAGAGAACGAAAGAGAATAAAACAAGAATTCGAAACAATGGTGTCGATTATATTTGCATGTGATGCAAACGACAGTAGTCGCCTTATGGCTATTTGCTTACATTTTGCTCGCTCTTACTCACTCGTTGTCTACGTTCTAATCGAATTTTAATTTTAAACTTCGGCCAAACGCAGACTTTGTACCAAGAATAGAATTGAGTGTTATTTGCGAAAAAGAATTCATCCAGTTGACTATATTACTACGAGAGTGTGGTGTTGAGTATTTGAGCTGTCGGTTGGTTTGTGTATCTTTATTATTTACTATATATGATCTAACGAGAGTCGAAGGTGAGTTCCAAACACATTTCATCATAGCTGAAAATCACTGACGTGGCAAATATTTAAGAAACAAACAACGCTACACAGGCATCGCATCGTCGTTGATTGTAATACATGAATATTGACAGACGCCAAGACAGCGAATTATGTTCACATCAGATCACTTTCGTCAAGGGAAACACGACCGCACCAAATCTAACGACAAGAAAAGAAGGGTTGCTTGCATTCAATTCATTATATAAATCTTTAGCTAAGCTGCTTTGTTTCAACTCTTCTTTTCAAATCCATTCTTTCATCTATCACATACACCACCCAGAGTTTTCATTCAAATGCATTTTTGCAATCGGTTTAGTTCGGTTGGTTTTACACCACCGGCTAAAATACGAAACCATTAATTATGGGCTCTCGTATCGGTGAAATTATGCGCCAGGTTTTTTTTCTTGTTTTACGCAAGAAGCCGATTAAAGGCAAAGGTTTAAGTCAATTGGCTCGTGCGTTTTGATCAGTCACATGGAAATGTGGATAACTTTGCATCAAAGCCATTTATCAAATGGAACGGCTCTCGTTATTAAGACGCAACGGTTCCATGTTTTATTGCGCATCAATTTCACTAATAAAGATGTTTGACATTCAACGAAAAAAGCGAACGTCTCTCTCTCTCTCTCTCTCTCTCTCTCTCGTTCGTCTTAATTCAATTAGTCAAGGAGATTAACTCTTCTCGGGCAGACATCCGATGAAGATTCTGTCTAATTGAAAAATGACTTCGCCACAACCGAACGACGACTTTAATTGATTAATTGAAATTATACAAAACCAGCGCGTTTTTTTTATTTGAATGTGCAATCGAATCACAAATCACAGCCGAATGGTGAGTGCAGGAAAAACGGATTCGAACACGGCAAGCAAAAACGAATTGGTTGAAGGGATGACAGCCGACAACGCTTCAAATCTCTCTTTTTGTCAATTTATTAGGCTGCAACACTCTTCACGCTCTTCACCTCTTACACTTCTCGCTTTTTTTCCTGCTCTTTCACTCTTATCGCTCTTTTCTCTCTCACAAATCTCGATTGCTCTCCCGTTCTTTTGCTTCCTCTTTCTCTCTCTCTGTGTGTCTCTTGCTATCTCCCTCTCGTCTATCTACTCCTTTCACATCACTCACTTCCATCTCGCTTTCTCTCTCCCAAAATCGACTGAAAAAGTTATCACTTGAAAAAATGTCGGTGAAAAATTGCAATATGAAAAGCGTAACATTGTGACCAACCACCGCGTATTATCCATCTATGATTGACATGAGTGACGCAACAAATCGAAGCAACCGTTCGTACGTTCGTCAAGCGGTGTTCATTTTTCAATTTTTCAACACAGAAAAACAAAAACTAATGCACAAACATGAATGTGCAGTTTACAAAACACAGTTTGCGTGTGGCCCGTTTAGTGAATTGTCACAATCGGATCCTTTGTTTATATTTTGATTTTGCATTGGACGAGAAAGAAAAACCGAGTGAATGCAGTCACCCCTTCTTGAATGTATGTGGGAATCTCGCGATGCGATCAAGTTGTGTCACATGTCACACCACATCGAACATTGTTACGGTCCTTAATACCAGTGGTAGAATATACCACGCACCAAGCAATGCCGCTACATGTGCAATACATTTCACGGTGTTGCTTTTTAAGTGCACGACCGTATGCACTCTCGACTCCGTGTTGTTGTTTTTTTTTTTCAATTTTCAACCAAATAAAATTCGCCGGCATACAAAAGAGGAAACTTGATTTCTCGCCTTTTATTTTCACATGCGTTGAATACACTCGAGAACAACACCGCCAACAAAAAATCGATTATTCTTTGTTTTGACTCAATGAAAATTGAATTTCTGAATGTGACATAAAGCGCAGTTAGAGTTTGACATCTCAATAGAACAAATACACTTGAAAAACTAACGCAATATCCATTCAATCACCCCGCTCCACATTGACAACCGTCTTTTTTTGTATGGCTCACAAGTGTTTATTCATAGCAAAAATCCAATCAAGCGAACAAGTTCTTTTTTTGAATTTATGAAAAAGAACGAATTTTTAGAGGAAAAATTGAACCAAAGTTCAAACTGATTCAGTTTAACTGGAATTGTTTGACTTTGTTTAAAACAAAGAGCATTTCTTGCTCTCTTTGGGAAAAATTGTAAATTGGAATGGTCTTTTTATGGGTAGATATTGCCAGATATGCAGGCATTTTCGAACAAATTTTCGTTTTCTACCATAAAAAAATGAAATTCACTTTGTTTACGGGAAAAAAGCTGAAAATTTCTCTGTCTAAAAATATTTCGCCAAATAAAAATCAAAGAACGAAATTCAATCGCATTTAAAATA